ATCCTGGTCGCCGTCGGCAAGGGCCGCTCATTAGTTTCCCCCCAGTAGCTTCCGCTCTCGGGGCTCATGAAACTCTCTTGGGATTCTCTTGGATGCACGTGGGGCTCTCTCGAAGCCCTTGTGGTTAAGGCCTGTCTTTAGGGATCCTCGTGTGGAGTCTATCCGGGATTGTTGGCGGGGACGGCGCCCCCTTGGCGCTTGTTGAGCGCAGAGTGGATGTCAGAAAGGCAATGGAACGGGGCGCTCTGTGCACGGCCCCCATACGCGAAACGATGCCTGGCACTTCAGTACTTTGTGCACAGTGTCGCAGGCACCTTGCGCAAAATTCGCGAAGGGTACCGCCCCACTTTTGTGTTTTTGCCGCTCATGGCATCGTGCATCACTGTACAAGCAGCTCTCCAGAACCTCCTCGTGCATCGACTCCTCTGGTACGGGATGGTGGGTGCTCGAGGGAGTCGGTGCAGAAGTGGTGTTTCTTGGCATCGCTTGGACGTGCCCACTTTTTCCGCGGCGGGGACCACCGAGGAGCATTTGGATCTCCTCGCGAAAAAAAAAACACGCACGAGATCCATGGACGTCCGAGCGATGGCAAGGTCCAGTGCGTTGGCCACCCGCGGTCCCGTAGCTGCTCGCGCGGCAGCGGCGGCAGCGGCGGCGGCGGCGGCACCTCGTGCGGTGCAGGGGGCCGCGGGGGCCCTCGGGCCGGCCCGGGGGGGCCGGCTGGGTCCCCAGCGCGCGCGGGAGGCCAAGCTTGCGCTGCAGCAGGACGGCTGCGCCTCGTCCTCGTCTTCATTTCTCCTCCTCCTCCTCCTCCTCCTCCTTTTGAAAAGTTGCATGCGTTTCACGGATTGAGAGGAAGCCGTTTTCAAAATGTGGTTTTCGCCTCAGCGCCGCGCATATTCGTTGTAACATGTCCAAGAGCTTGAGGGCGGTTCCTTTGCAACACATGGCTCCCGCCTTAGCGCCGTGCACATGCGTTTATAGCATGTGCAAGTGTTTCATGGATTCCTGTCATCAGTGTGCCAGAAATGGTGTTCTAGAAAGACTCAGGACTATGCGGGTGCAACAGTTACGTTGATTCGCTGTATTGAGGTCCCAGGACTGGCGCGATTCAGGATCGTCAAGGCGCAGCAGTTAGGTTGGTCTGTGGGTTGGAATCCCGAGAGCAATGTTTTGGCATGCTTCAGGGTCGTCAGACGGTTGTCTTCTCACGAGGCAGTTCCCTCAATGGAATTGAACCGTTGTAGGGGCCTATGAAGAGGGAGCTTGGAGGGAGGGTCTATTGCAACATCGTTGGTGACTCTCGGGTTTACACGGGTCCTCCTCCTCCTCCTCCGCCTCCTCCTCTAGCTCCTTCTCCAGCTCCTCGTCTTCACTCCTCCCTCCTCCTCCTCAACCTCCGCCTCCTCCTCCGCCAGATCCCTCTCCAGATCCTCGTCTTCACTGCTCCCTCCTCCTCCTCCGCCTCACTCCCCCTCCTCCTCCTCCGCCTCACTCCCCCTCCTCCTCCTCCTCCTCCTCCTCCTCCTCCTCCTCCTCCTCCTCCTCCTCCTCCTCCTTGTCTCCCTCCCTGCACCACCTTCCTCCTCCTCCTCACTCCTTCCTCTTTACTTTTTCCTCCTCCCTACTCCTTCCTCCTTCCGCCTTCCTCCGTGCTCCTTCCTCCTCCTCCTTCTCCTCCTGCTTCTCCTCGTCCTCCTGCTCCTCCTGCTTCTCCTCCTCCTCCTCCTCCTTCTCCTCCTCTTCTCGAGCCGCTCGAAGAATGACGTGACCATGGAGCGGCGGAGGGCAGCAACCAACGGGCGCACGACGCCTCGGAGGTCGGCGCTCGGCGCCCTCGAGCCGCGTCCTCCCCCGCCCCGGGGGCAAGGGGGTGCGGGGATCGTCGGGGCTCAGAGGAGGAGGAGGAGGAGGAGGAGGAGGAGGAGGAGGAGGAGGAGGAGGAGGAGGAGAGACTGGGGTCAGTGCAAACGGGGGTCAGCCAGAGCGCCGGATCTCGCAGGATGCTGCAGGGCCAGGGGCCCACTGACCCAGGCTTGGGTGCAGAATCTTGCAGGATCCTGCAGGATCCTGCAGGATCCTGCAAGGCTTGACTGACCCGGGTCTGGATTGACCCGGGTCAGTAGATCCCCAAGATCGGGAGTCCCGAGAGACGGTGCGTCGACCATACCGTGGGGTGAGTCGGTGGGGGCTCCCCTGGCGTGGGCCGCCGCTGTTCTCGGGCCCCGGCCTGAGGCTGTCTGGGCCGACTGCCTGTGAATTCGTGCAGGCACTCTGGACACCCTCTTCGCGCGCGGCCAGCTCGGGTGCTTTGTGCCGCGGAAGTTCGGAGTCCGTGGGGGCTCGGGGTGGCCCCACGGCTTTGTGGACTTGGCCCGTTCTCTGGGCATGTCCTGGGCGACTGGGGCCTCGAGGCCGCCACGCCCGGGGGGGCACCTCGCCACGTGGCCACTCGGGAGGCGCTCCCCGCCTCTGACTGCGGCCGCCCGCGGTCGCTGCT